TTGCAAAATGAAACGGAATTCCATTCATAGTGGGTTGTCCGTACGCCTGCCACTTCACGAAAAAAGGATATGGCCAACATGAAAGATGGAGGGAAATGAATTCTGTAAAATTGATCTACAATATGAATACCAATAATGCAAAGAAGTCCTTGGAAGTTTCGACTATCGCATAGAACGCTCGAACAATATGTTTCTTCTCCGATGGCTTAATGGAGGAATTGTACAACATATTTTCTCGATTCATGGTTCCGAAACCCAAAATTAATTGCACCGATTTTTCGTCGAAGAAGAAAATATCGAAATAACAGCTAAACGTAGCCAAATTTTTAAATGGAAATATGGGCGGCGTAGATAATATAGGTCTCTTTCTGCCTTTATACAGAATTGCCATTAGATCTACTGAGAGGACTTATGGTCAGAGTACAGAATGGACAACGAACACTGGAATATTAGAAAATGTATGAACATATTGAGCTTTGGCAACGACATGGCAGATGGCCTCCTTGCTCCAACCAATCAGCGAGCATAAAGTGATATGATGTTTCAGTAAGTCTTTCAACATCCGGTAAAAATCGAAAAGTAGCTCAAATAAATTCTATGCGACATGATGGAAACCAGCATTGGCAGGAAAATATGACTGATAAAGGCAGATGTAAATGTAAATATAAGGACTGTAAAAAGGAACAAGAACAAGATATAGATGTTCCAAGTGTGATGTCATTCTATGTGCACCGAATGGTTCCAGGAATAGTTTTAAGGATTATCATTATTTAGCGATCGAATTGATTATTTATAAGTTATTCTGTTATATATTATTTTAGTATCGATCGAAATATCGATTTTTAAGCGATATATGAAATTTTTGCAAATAAAAAACACAAGCAATTCAAAAACGTGTAAAAAGCAGCAGTTTAATACCCTCCACAAATTGGAAAGAATTTGGTAAATTTCCAAAAACTCTGAAAAATAACGCTTATATGAAAACCGTTAAATGGGCGCGATACGAAGACGTGGACCTTTATTAATAATTTTTATACACTCTATTAAGTTTGTCATTCCGTTTGTAACACCTCGAAATATACATTTTAGACCCCACAAAGTATATAAATTCTTGATCAGCATAAATTCTATGTCGATTTAGCTATGTCCGTCCGTCTGTGGAAATCACTCACGGAATGAAGTAGATTGATAAAATTTTACTTAAAATTTTCTGCGCAGGTCAACATTTTGGTATAGCCCCATGTAATAGTTACTCCCTATATTGATGATTTTAGCTACATTATTCGCCGATTTTTTTCAAGTTTCGCATTTGAGTATTGTATTGGCTTATGACATAAGTTGCCTATATAGGTCCACGTCGTTTAGACTCTAATATGACAGCTACATTTGGTATTTTTAAGATTTTAACAGAATTTTTAACGGATTTTTTTTTTTTTTGAAATAGCCAAATTCGTCCAAAATTGTGGAGGGTATTTTATTAATTTTTTATCAAAGGCTGTAGTACCCATTACGATATTCAAATTCGAAATTTGTAACAATTCCTGCGAATAACTCATGAAAATATCGAATATCTGGAGGTACCGTTATATGGGGGCAATACTATAACGTGGACCTGCACACGAAGTTTTTTTGTTAAAGGCTGTAGTACCCATTACAAACTTTGAATATGAAATCGACTTAGAATTTTGCACTGATCTAGAATATATATACTTTGTCGGGTCTATCATGAGTATTTCGAGGAGATACAAACGGACAAAGCTAACATGCCCTTCTTAGAATGGTGGAGGGTATAATATACACGATTTTTATACCCTCCACCATACATAGTATGGAGGGTATATCATGTTCGTCATTCCGTAACTCATCCAAAAAACAATTTTAGACATAACATATATTCTTGATCAGCATAAAATTATGAGACAATTTAGTCCTGTCCGTCCATCTGTTGTAATCACGCTAGAGTCGAAACGAATAGAGGTGGGAAGTTAACATTTTCAACAAATCAGTATTTCGTCTTCGGACAGGTCAAGTTCGAAGATAGGCTATATCGGTCCACGATATCGTACAGCCCCCATATAACGGTACCCCCCAATATTCGGTATTTTGATAATCGTAGCCAAATTTTTCAATGAAATTGTATAAAAATTCACAAAAAAAAGTTCCTTCTGAGTAACATACCCATTTGAAGAGTATATAGGATCACGATATTGTATAGTACACATAGAACGGAACCTGTGAATATTCAGTATTTTGATGATTTTAGCGACATTATTACCGGGAGTTTTTAACCATATTTTCAAGAAGGACCAAAAAGATCCCTTAACATTTTCGATCAAAATGTTTTTTTTTTTTTTTTTTTTTGAAACATTACTGAGGACCCTATATACCTGAAATGCACGTGTTTCGAGGAATCTTAATCCGAAATTTTTCAGAAATGTTGAAGAGGGGGGCACTTACCCCCTATTTTAGCTACGATAAAAAATTGATTGATTTTTGTTCCACAGTTAAATTATTGAAATTATCGTATTCCAAAGGCTAGGTATATTTTCATGTATATTCTTATTTTTTTAATTTATGGGCAAGAAGTATACCTTGAATTGAAAAGGAGACATCATTCGTCTTGGGCGCCAATTTAGTCCCTTTAAAAAATGAGGGTATATGCCATTTGAAACATCCAAAACGTGCCTCGGCGAAATAAGGGTTGTAGACCCTAGGTCTCCTTGGTCCAAATCCGTTTCAGGACATTTGGAGTGGGTCTAGCGATATCCGTCTGTCCACCAGTTTCTGAGTACGATAATTATCGCAAAGAGTATTCAATATAGTCCAGTCCAGTCGAGTTCGGAGATGGGCAATAACGGTCCAATCCTTCTGGTACCTCCCCCACAAAAGGTCGAAATTTTCAAAGAATATATTTTACTGCATAGAGAGAGAGAAAGGATAATCTGATTTTACTCCAACTTTGCAAATCCTTATGCATCATCAGTTGCATCAGTTCTAGGTAAGGTATGAAAATGGACAATGTCGGTTTACTCCATCAAGTACCTGGCCCAGCAAGGGTCAAAATTTGTAATATCTATGAAGCTCATAAGACACGAAATTAACATTCGATTCCATTCAGACTTGGCACATCTGAATATTTCTTTCAACACAAGTTTCGAATAATAAAAACGATTATTAAATCCGAAATAAGTATCCGGTTCTCTTCATATTTCACACATCCCATTATTTCTACTAGCACAAGATCTGCTGTGAAAATGGAAATACAGATCGGACTATTCCTTCTGGTACCTCTCCCACAAAATTCAAAACTTTGAATAACAAAAACGATCATAAAATCCGAAATAAGCATACGGTTCTATTCGAATTTCACACATCCAAACATTTTTGAAAAATCTGTTGTGAAGATGATAAATATCTGTCAACCCGTTCTGGTACCTCATCCACAAAGAGTCACAATTTCCAATACTTGTATCTATCATAATTTCGAAACAAGTCGGCAATTCTATCGAAATTTGTGATTTTGTATAAAATTGGATATACATGTTCGATTTCCTTTAACTTTTGCACGCACCAATATTTTTATCTGTATTAAATGAAGTGGAATATTTCGGTCCGCTATATGTGGTACCTCACACATATTTCGAAATTTTTTCAAGAATGCAATAATTGCAAATATGTCAAGTAAGTAGACGATATAATCCAAATATGACACGTTGTAATATTTATATCAGACTTATGTCAGATACGAAATGGACAATATTGACCAACTGCTTCGGAACCTCCCCCATAAAGGGTCAAAGGTTAGAATAATCATAACTCAAGGTTGGGGGTATACATCTGTTTCCGATCGGCTGATACTATTTAACTTGTTGCATATAATTTTTAATAATTTCGGCAGGTGAAGCCTCAGGACTGTATTTTAATAGTTTTACGAGCCAGCTTTGCCTGCTTATTTTACCATGGTTCTAATTAACAATATATTATTGATAACAACTGTATGCACGCACCTACACACATACTTGTGGAAAGTACAATTACATTCGCTTAAATAATAGCTGGGTATACCATTTTTTGTCGGTAGGTTATATTGTTTGTAAAATTCGTATTTAAAGAAAATAAATTATGTTCAACAACACACAATAGCTAAGTACGTATTTTTATACCCTCCACCATACTATGGAGGGTATATTAACTTTGTCATTCCGTTTGTAACTCCTCGAAATACTCATATCAGACCCAACAAAGTATATATATTCTTGATCAGCGTAAAATTCTAACTCGATTTAGCGATGTCCGTCTGTCTGTCTATCTGTCCGTCTGTCTGCCTGTTGTAATCACGCTATCTTTCGAATGAATTGAGATAGATGGCTAAAATTTTGCACACATGTTTATTTTTCCAGTAGGCAGGTTAAGTTCGTAAATGCGCCATGTAGGTCCACGTTTTCATATAGCTCCCATATAACGGTAACCCCCCTATATTCGGTATTTTGATGATTTTAGCGACGTTATTCACCGGAATTGTTTCAAATTTGAAGTTCCAAATGGATACTACACCCTAAGAAAGAAAATTGTCTTTGCAGGTCCACGTCTTCGTATAGCCCCAATATAACGGTACCTCCCTATATTCGGTATTTTGATGATTTTAGCGACGTTATTTACCGGAATTGTTTCAAATTTGGTATTTGAAGTTCGTTATGGGAACTACGGTCTGTGACAGAAAATTATTGGTGCGGGCCCAGTTTCGAATTTGAATATGGTAATGGCTTATGACAAACAATGCACATGTATGTCCACGTCGTATAGACCCCAATATAACGGCTATATTCGGTATTTTTAAAATTTTAACAGAATTTTTTATGGATTTTATTTTTTGAAAATTTCCAAATTCGTTGCAAATGGTGGAGGGTATTAAAAGTTCGGCCCGGCCGAACTTACTGCTTTTTAACTTGTTTGCAACCCATTTCGTCATTCGCTAATCACGAAACTCATACCGAGAACCCATTGTTATTAAAACACAGAGTGAGGTCGAGTGGATTCTATTCTCTCTTTAAATTCCACATTGAATTCGCTGTGCTCACTGTTTGTTCTCAGTGGGCAAGCGACGAACACCACTAACGATGCCACGTTAGTTGCAGTGGAAATGCCGAACGAAATAGATAGCAGACGTTTAATCGAAGAAGTGCGCAAAAGACCAGCTTTATGGGACCTGGATCATGAGTTCAACAAATGGCCTCTCGAAGTTATCAAGCTATGGAAAGAGGTGGCAGCTGTTCTGGGCGTTGAGGATGGTAAGTAAATGAAAACAACAGCTAGCTCATTTTCGTTAGCTGAGTAGTCATAGGTTTGTTGTTTATCAACATTAAATGCGACAACAACAAATGTACATGTGTGTGAGTGTGTGTGTGCGTTATTATTGAGTAGCGTTTTATTCTCTCTCATCTCTCTTTTTTTCTGTTCCTCTTTTTTGTATCGTTTGTTTTGTTACTGGCTACAACTGGTTGTGTGTTCGTTCGTTGGCCCTCTGTATGGTGTGACGTTGTTGCTAATTGTGGTTACGCTACAGTCGAACAATGTCGACATAAATGGAAAATTTTACGCGATACTTATCGCACCTTGGTGAAACGTTTTGAGCGGCGTAAAGCACGCGATAAAGCGCTGGGTGTTCAGAATCCTCAAAGCAGTTATGAGATTAAATGGGCCTATTATGACGATTTAAGCTTTATAAAAGATAAAAAGCGTAAGCGACGGACGCGCTCTGAAATGGAACAAGATCAAAACACCAATTCAATAGATGATTGTAATGAAGCGCCCGTTTCGGAAATTAAAGTGGAACCGACGCGTGTTGGCAGTCAAGAGGCATTTCTAATAGAAGAGTTTGATGATGATGATGATGCAGATATGACAGATATGGAATTTCAAGATATTGGGAATTCAAATATGCTCTCTGATAATTCTAGAAGTAATACATTGTTGGCAGAGCAATACCCGGCTAAAATCTCAGGCGTCAATGAGGGAACAAATACCACAAATGAGGTCCAGAATACATTAACAACGTCTCAACTGTCATCGCCAATCTCCGTAATCAATGCAGCGCTTGAAGAAACCGAATCCCCAAATGTGATCCAGAAAACAAAATTAAGAACAAGCCCTCAAGTATCACAGACCATTGAAGAGGCGACCTCACCAATAACCCCATTAACATTCCCCATGGCACCGGCAATAAAAGTGGCAACACAAGAAAAATCAAACAGTACGGCAACTCCAATTCCCAACGACAATTCAAAAGATTGTCCAAATTCCTCACGAAATGAGCGACATGTACATTTTCTCGAAACCCCCGAACAGAAAGAACACCATCTAATGAAATCCTCTCTAGAAGCTATACATAGTGCCAACAAGCATAACGGTGATCCAGATTATCATTTCCTAGTCAGTTTCTTGAAACACACGAAGAAAATGGATGTTGTTGAAAATTTACGATTTCGTAGACGCATGTGCGATTTGGTTATGAGTACATTAGCGCCCAATGCGGCGCCAAGCAATTCCTTAGCAGCTACAAGCAACGCGTCAGCGTTATCAGCCCCCGTTTCAGGTTTCGTTATTGCGGAGTATGAGAAGGGCAATAGTGCTTCAGTAAAACAAGAGCCGGTAACAAATCAGTAGACAAGTAATGTTAAAGGGAATAATAATCAGATATAAATAAAATATAAAATAAATAAATATAATAGTAATATGTTGTTGTTGTAACCAAATAAGTATAATAGTAATAAATAAATAATATAATGAATTAATATAATTCGAATTATTTTTTATACCCCCAGCCAAATGGCTGAGGGTTTTAGACCCGCTGTAGAGCATTTGGTGTCCATCTACGAATGTCCTGCCGATACGATAACTGTCGAAGGTAGTATCCAATTTGGTCCAAACTTGGTACATCGTAATATTACTACTAAACTTAGATCGAGTTCGGAGATGGACAATATCGGCGCACTCCTTCTGGTACATCCCCACAAAAGGTAGAGGTTTTCAAAAATAAAAAAAAAATATTTTACTGCGCAGAAAGAGGAAGGATAGTCCGATTTTGTTCCAACTTTACAAAACCTAATATTTGCATCAGTGCTAGGTTAGGTGCGAAAATGGACAATATCCGTAAACTCCACCAAGTACCTCCTCCACTATGGGTAAAAATTAATTGAATAATTATAACTCTTATAAAATGTGATGTACGGGTCCGATTGTCTTCAAATTGGACCATTCCTTCTGGTACCTCCCCCATAAAGGGTCAAATTTTTGAAAAACCAAAACGATTATGAAATCCGAAATATGAACCCGGTGCCCTTCATATTTCACACATGCCATTATTTCTATAACACAAGATCTGCTGCCATTATTTCTATAACACAAGATCGACTCACACTTTCTCAAAATTTTGAATATCTATAAAGCCTATAACGTAATTAACAACGGATTCCCTTCAGACTACGTACATCCCCATATTTCCATCAACACAAGATAGGTTATAAAGATGGTAGAGATCGAAATCAAAATAGAAATTTCGTTTCTTTGGTGACTTTAAGTGAAATTTGATCAAGAATATTTATGTCTTCGACGTCACCCCCCTAAAAGGACGCTTTGTTGCAGATTTTTGCACAAACTAACTAAGTACGTATTTAACCCTTAAATGAGTTTTTAATATACAGGGTGAGATAAAAAAATGCAACGAAGTCAAACGCCATAAATTTTATTTTACTTTTTTTAATTTTATTGAATGGAAGCAAAAAATGTCGGAAATAGCATCAAATTTTAGAATAAGTTTAGATTTGTTCGAATTGGTCACCTTTGGCACGAATTATGGCCTTCAAACAGCAAATGAAACCATCACACGATGCCCGAATGTTGCTCTGCGGTATTTTGTACCATTCCCGGCGAAGCGCTTGCTTGAGGTGATCGACACTTTTGTATTTTTTAGTGCCAACCTTACCTTCCAAAATACTCCAGACACAATAGTCCAACGGATTGGTATGCGGATATTTTTGTCCGCTGGAAATGAAGCGAGGAACCTCATTTTGTAACCATTCTTGGGTGGCGCGTGCTGAGTGCGATGGTGCTGAGTCCTGTCCAAGGTCTACGGCCAAAATGTTTGCATGCCTAAGGCTTTAATACACCCTCCAGAATATTTTCGCGATAACACGATCAGCGCCTTTTTTGGCGGCTCACTCCATCACCATGGCCGGGGCTTGAGTTCTGTTGGCGAACCGAAGTTGCACATTTTCAGCTGAACTCTTTGGCAAGTAAACAAGATCCCCGATCATTTTGTTTGTTTACAAACTGCTGGACAACGAATATTTGCTCATCGGAGAAAACCAAATTCGGCAGTTCACCACTTTCGGGCATGCGAAGCAACCCTTTAGCTCGTTTGAGTCTATTTTATTTCTGTTGCGGTGTAAGTTCTTCCACTTTTTGGAATTTCAATTGCGTTACCCCGAGCTCATTTTGCAATATTTGCCGAATATTGCGGAATATAGCGATATGTTTAGCTCACGAGCCATTTTTCGGCCGCTGAGACGCGGCTTTGAATCAAGACGCTTCGTTACTTTTCGAACCATTTCTGCTGATGTTGCTGATTTCTTCCGTCCACTTCCTTGAAGTCGGGCTACGCTACCAGTACCACGTGTGGTTTTCCAGCCAAACATAAAGAAATCACACAATCACGCTTGAATTCCATCACGAATACATTTTTTTCTTAAAATTTCTTACCAAAATGCTTTTGAACTGGAGTAATTTTAACAGCTGTCGGACGAGTGGCTTAGAAGTGACAGCAGTCTGAAGTTGGTTGCAGTTTTTTCATCTCACCCTGTATATGCATTCCTGGTGGTCAAGGCAAGATTTATCCTCTTGGCGTCTTCTTGGCCCTATAGTAAAATTTTATGACAAATAATTTTGTAGAATATTTTAACTACGTTGTTTTTAGCCATATATTTGAAAAGGGCCCTAAAAGACGCCTTTGTTGACTCGCTTGAGGGTTAAAATTTTCGTTACAAATGTTCCCTGTATTTTTGTCAGCAATATTGTCAAATACACTATATATCTAAATTGCTTGGATGCTAAGGAATCTTAATTCGAAATTTCCACAAGTTCGGAAGAAGGGGAACTTGCCCTCTCTATTTATGCTACTTTTTGCTGCAAATTTTCAAAAGGTTTTGGGAAGAATTCGCCAAAACTAGACTAAGCGGATAGACTATTTGAGACACAGTCGTGGTCAACATTTGCATGAAATAATCTATAAATCTTAAATCATACGGACTCTACTATTAATTCCAATAAACATCTCATGGATTTTTCAGAATTTAATCAGCTTCCATATTCATTTAAAGAAACACCCTTTGGAGGTGTTACAAACGGAATGACAAAATTTAATATACCCTCCTTTCCATGCAGGAGAGCATAAAAATAATAATCAAACTACGTTGAGAACCCCTTGTTATTAACATTCAAAGAGACATTGCATGAGTGGACTCTATTCTCTCCTTGAATTCCACATTGAATTCGCTGTGCTCAGTGTTGCGCTCACTGGGTAATCGACGAACACCATTAACGATGCCACGTTAGTTGAAGGGAAAATGTCGAACGAAATAGATGCCAAGCGTTTAATCGACGAAGTGCGCAAAAGACCAGCTTTATGGGACTTGAATCATGAGCACAACAAGTCGTACACCGAAGTTGGCAGGCAGTGGAAAGAACTGGCAGCTGTTCTTGGCGTTGAGGATGGTAAGTAAAAGAAAACAAAAAACAAGAAGAAAGCTAGCTAAGATATTTTCGTTACCTGAGCTGTTGGTTCGTTGCTTATCGACATTAAATGCGACAACAACAAATGTGCATATGCGTGCGTGTGTGTGTAGTTATTGAGTAACGTTTTATTCTCTCATCTCTCTTTTTGTTCTGTTCTCCTTTTTGTATCGTTTGCTGCAACTGGTTTGATGCCCACGGTATGTGTGTATGACTGACTGTTGTATGAAATGATGCTGATGTTGTTATTGCTTGGCGCTATAGTCGAACAGTGTCGACGTAAATGGAAAAATTTACGCGATTCCTATCGTGCTTTGGTAAAACGCTGCGACCTTCGACGGGCACGCGACGAAGCCTTGGGTATTTATGATCCTCAAATTAGCTATGAGAGTAAATGGACTCATTTCCACGATCTAAGCTTTATAAGAGACAAGAAGCGTAAACGGCGAACTCGCTTTGAAATCGAACAGGATCAAAATACCAATTCAACAGATGATTGCAATCATGAAGCGAATGTTTTCGACATTAAAGTGGAACCGACCTCGTTTATGGATGGTGGTGATCAAGAAGTATTCTTTATCGAGGAGTTTGATGATGATGATGCCGATATGACAGATTTGGAATTTCAAGATATCGATACATTGTTGCCAGAGCAACAATTCAAACATATACCAGCTAAAATCTCAGTAATCAATGGACCGAAGACCAGCAACGAGGCCCAGAAAACATCATCCACCACAACACCTCCAGTAATCCACTCCAATGAAGCGACAACATCACCATCGTCCCGTTTACCATTACCACTGCCACCTGCAATAAAAGTGGCAATACTGCCAAAAGAAACAACTCCAACTCTCAACAACAACGACAACAACACAAAAGAATTTTCAAATTCATCGCGTAGCGAAAAAAATGTTCATTTTCTCGAAAATCTCGAACGTGAAGAACACAAACTAATGCAGTCGACACGAGAGGATATACATCGTGCCATTGATCATAGCGGTGATCCAGATTATAATTTCCTGGTCAGTTTTCTGCCGCATATGAAGAAAATGAATGATTTACAAAACTTACAGATGCGTGCACGTATGAGTGACTTGGTATTGAATATTTTGTCACAGCCAGGGCAACATCAAGCGGCATCGTCACCGGCAGCAGCAAATTCTGCTCGTGGTAATAATCCTCAATATTCTTCATTTCACAATAGGAATTTTACAATAAATGCCGCCACATCAACCAGTTCTAATAATTTAAAATAAATTGCATGCGATTTTTCTACGTTTAAGATTATTTAAATTACAATTTAGTTTATAAACATATTATTGTTAAAAAAATGAAAATAAAACAGGTTCAGAATAAAGTTGAAATCTGATAAAATTACAAAAAATATAAATATTTTTTGAATTGAGGTGTTTTAGATGGCAAGCGGCATGGTACAATAACAAATGTTAGATAAAATTGTTTTTTATTGGTGTCCCTGTTCGTCAAAAACACTCATAACTTCTAAAGGGTACAACGGGAGAGCTTCACAATAAATAAAAAATAAAATACAGTAAGTTCGGCCGAACTTTGAATACCCTGCACCATTTGGAACGCTTTTGGAAATTTTCAAAAAAAATTAAATGAAAAAAATTCGTTAAAAAAAGTTGCCGTTATATTGGGGTCTATATGAAGCATAGACAATTTTTGTCATAGGCCATTCAAAAATTCAATATTCAAACATGAAATAATGTTACAAAAATACAGAATATAGGGAGGTACCGTTATAATGGGGCTATACGAAGATCTGGACCTGCATACCTGCAATTTTTTGTCATAGTCTGCAGTACCCATTACGAATTTTAAATACGAAATTTGAAACAATTTCGGCGAATAATGTCGCTAAAATCATGAAAACACCGAATATCATGGGTAACTTTATATGGGGGCTATATGATATAGACAATACTCTTGCAGGGGGGTAAAGTACGCAGAAGAAACTCTCTGCGTGGATTTTCAGACAATTTCATTGAAAAATTTTGCTACAATTATCAAAATATCGAATATAGCGAGGTCCCTTTATATAGGAGCTATACAAAGGCCTGGACCTTCATAGACAGTTTTCTGTCACAGACTGTAGTACCCAAATAGCTAGTGAAAAAACATTAACTTCGGCCGGGCCGAACTTTTAATATCCTCTACCTTAGGGTGAAAGAAACATTAGAACCCATTATGACCCACAAATACCAATTTTTAGACATATTCGTGGGTAAATGTGGAAAAAGGTATCAAAAGGCCAAAATCGAGAGGTACCGTTATATGGGAGCTATATCAAAGGGTGAACCCATATAACCCAATATTTCACCACACGAACTAGGACCCATTATCACCTACAAATACCAATTTTCAGACAAATCCGTGAAAAATGTGGCAAAAATCATCAAAATACCGAATATCTGGAGGTACCGTTATATGGGGTTTATACCAAAACGTGGGCCTTTACATACAATGTTTTGCCACCGCAACTAGAACCCATCACGGCCAGCAAATTCTAATTTTTAGACAAATTAGTGGAAAAATGTGACAAAAGTCATCAAAATACCGAATATCGAGAGGTACTGTTATATGGGGCTATACAAAAACGTGAACTTATGCATGCAATGTTTCGCCACCGGAGCTAGAACCCATTATGACCCACAAATAGACAATTTCGTGGGAAAATGTCCCAAAAATCATCAAAATACCCTACAAATACCGATTTTCAAATACCGAATATCGGGAGGTACCATTATATGGGGACTATATCAAAACGTGGACCTATATGTCTCATTTTCAATACCAACCATCCTAGTCACAATACTATTGGGATGTGTGAAAGTCATGTTTTATAAGAGTTGCAATTATTAAAATTGTGGCCCTTGATAGATTCTCTTAGATCCTTAAAAAATCCTTTTGCGAATATCTCTGATATTTTTCGTTTTTAAAAAAAAAAATCGACACAAACCTAGCACAATTCAGCACAACTTTCGTTTTTTTTTTTTTTTTTCGAAACTCGAAAATTGCAATTCCATCGGACACCAAATTATTCCTTCTAATATTTCGACAGACATCTCACGAACAAATGCTTCAACGTTGTCTTCCAATGCGTCAATTGAATCGAACTCTTCAGTATAGACATGAGCATTCACATGGCCCCACAAAAATAGTATAAAGGCGTAAAATCGCACGATCTGAGCGGAAAACTGATCGGTCCTGTTCAGCCATGTGACATCGTCTTGTTTAAATCACATGCCGTGCAAGTCAAACCTTGCATTTTGGGCTAAAAATGTTGGGTATCATTTCACGGTACCGCTTGAAGAATTACGGTCCAATTATGCCATCCACCCATAAACCGCACCAAACTGTGACTTTTTCTAGATGCATCGATGATTTTTAGATTTTGCAATACATTCGTCGGATTTTCACTCCAAGTGGGATGTATGGGCCCACTCCTTCTGGTACCTCCCCCTCAAAGGGTCAAAATTATCCATGAAGCTCATAAAACGCGAAATTAACATCCGATTCCCTTCAGACTCGACACATCTCAATATTTCTATCAACACAAGATCTGACATGAAGACGAAATATATCGGATCACTCCTTCGTGTACCTCATCCATAACGGGCCCAATATTTTGAATAATTATATTTCTCATAAAATGTGAAATACGCATCGGATCCTTTCTAAACTTCGCACATTCGAGTACTTCTGCTAACAAAATCGGTTCACCTCTTCTGGTACCTCCACCAACAAAGGGTCACAATAATCAAATCTGGTACATTGTAAGATTTATTTCAGACTTAGGTCAAATGCGAAATGAATAATATTGGCCCACTTCTATGGAGCTACCTCATCCATAACGGGCCCAAAATTTTGAATAATTATATTTCTCATAAAATGTGAAATAAGAATCGGATCCTTTCTAAACTTCGCACATTCGAGTATTTCTGCTAACAAAATCGGTTCACCTTTTCTGGTACCTCCTCCTATAAAGGGTCACAATAATCAAATCTGGTACATTGTAACATTTATTTCAGACTTAGGTCAAATGCGAAATGAATAATATTGTCCCACTTCTTCGGAGCTACCCCCATAAGTAGTGAACAGTTTGAATCCTCATAACGCAAGGTTGGGGGTATACATCTGCCGGCTAACCCGGCTGATACTATTTAACTTGTTGTAATAAAATTCAATGATTTGCAAGCGACGTTCGTGATGAAAATCTGCAACCAACTTCAGACTGCTGTCATTTCGAAGCCACTCGTCCGACAGCTGTTAAAATTATTCCAGTGACAGTTTACAAGTATACAAAACCATTTTGGTAAGAATTTTCCAGAAAAAAAGTTATTCGTGATGAAATTCAAGCGTGATAGTGTGATTTCTTTATATTTGGCTGGAAAACCACAAGTGGCTATCGTTAGAGGACTCCAGCATTTAAATGTGAATAAATCTTTTGTGTCCCGTACCATCGCTCGTTGCCGTTACCGTGATACTGGTAGCGTAGCCCGACGTCAAGGAAGTAGACGGAAGAAAACAGCAACATCAGCAGAAATGGTTCGAAAAGTAAAGAGGCGACTTGATTTGAACCCGCATCGCAGTGGCCGAAAATGGCTCGTGCGCTGAACATATCGCTATATTCCATTCGGCAAATACTGAAAACTTAGCTCGGGGTAAAGCCATTAAAATTCCAAAAAGTGCAAGAACTTACACCGCAACAGAAAAAAATAGACTCAAAAGAGCTAAAGAGGTGCTTCGCTTGGCTGAAAGTGGTGAACTGCCGAATTTGGTTTTCTCCGATGAGAAAACATTCGTTGTCCAGCAGTTTGTAAACAAACAAAATGATCGTGTTTACTTGCCAAAGAGGTCAGCTAAAAATGTGCATCTTCGGTTGACCACCAGAACTCAAGCGTCGACCATGGTGATTGTGTGGGCCGCCGTAACAGCCGTTGGTCGCTCTCCGCTCGTATAAATCGACCGTGGCATCAGAATAAATGCCGAATATTATCGCGAAAATATTCTGGAGAGTGTATTAAAGCTTTGGGCACGCAAACATTTTGGTCCCAGACCTTGGAAATTCCGACAGGACTCAGCACCATCGTAGTCAGCACGCGCCACCCAAGAATGGTTACAAAATGAGGTTCCTCGCTTCATTTCCAGCAAAATCTCCGGATACCAATCCGTTGGACTATTGTGTCTGGAGTGTTTTGAAAGCAAGGTTGGCACTAAAAATAGATGATCGACACCATCTAAAGCGAGCGCTTCTCCGGGAACGGGTCAACATTCGGACAGCATGTGACGGTTTCATTGGCCGTTTGAAGGCCATAATTCGTGCCAAAGGTGACCAATTCGAACACATCTAAACATAATCTTAAAATTAAAAATGCTAAATGCCTCAATAAAAAAAAAATGTAAAAATTATGACGTTTGACTTCGATGCAGTTTTTTTATCTCCCCCTGTATAGCTAAATAATCACCCTTTACAAGTGTTACTGACAAATAATGCTTATTTTTTATTATATCAAAAAGGAGGGGAAACTTAAACCCCAAGTGCTTGACGTAAACATAAGCTGCTCAGTAAATGCAACTGAAAGGAATTGAATTACCACTCCTAAAGATCCTACAAAGTGAGGGACTTAAATCATACTGTTATGTGGATATGACGTTCCAAATCTTACTTTTTGTTTAGAAAACAAACAAAAGTGTTAAAGGGATTCGGAATGTGGTTAAAATAACTATTTGCCCTGAACAAATCAAATAGCAGCACTGAATGGTGAATTAGGCACATTAACAAAACCGCTCTTAGCTTGAGGAAATTCCTTTGCACATGTGCGTTCAGTTCATGCTGCTGGTGGCAAAATACCAAGGATTAACTGCTGATGGGAATTTTTCACATTTCATTTCCGCACCAACTTCACCGGCTAGCCGACCAAAAGTATGCATTAACATAAACTCGAGATTTTTGACACCTGAACATTGTTGCAAGTCGTTGAGATAGAAAAAACCCATCAAATGGCATTCAATGGAGGGAGGTGCAGACAAATGCATCTGTGTACACAAACACTTGGACACACACACACAGGTGAATGGTGTTAACAGAGAATGTGGGCAAGTGCGGATGCTGCTGGTGGTGGCTTCATAGAATTGCAAC